CTTTACTGTATTATTATATTTATATTATATTTTATTTCCCTATTTTCTTATTTAACCATTGATAAAATAAATCCCAAATTTTTATACTACTCTTTGTCTTCTTGCTCTCTAATTGCTAATGACCATTTACTCATTTCTGCACATTCCATTATTTTCTTAATCACCTCCTCTTCTATCGGAATTTTTTCACTTTTCCAATTTTTGGCAAATATAATTCTAGCTGCATTTGCTGTCAAAACATTTATAATCAAATATGTCAATTCTTTACTGTATCCTTCAGGTAAGATACCCAATAAAAATATCTCTGGTTTCAAGTCTATATGCTATTTTGTCATTTTTTCCAAACTTGTATGAATTTTAGTCCAGTATCTAGTCACACATAGTCACACACATCCACGGCATGTGATAGTATGATCCAAGTATCTGATATACATTTCCAACATTTCTTCGATTTATTCTTAAACATTCCTTGCTATCCTTGCCAGGGGTAGATGCTACCTGTAAAACATCTTGTACAAGTTCTCTTTATATGCTGTTGACATTGTTATTTTATAATTTCAAGACCATAATTTCTGCCATCTTTCTAAGTCTATCCCATATCCAAAGTTTTTCCCCAGGCAATCATTGTATCTTTAACTTGTTCTTCTTCTAATTTTACTCCAAGTAAATATCTATATAATTTTTTAATCACCTTCTCATCAGTACCTGTCAAAATTCCATCTAATTCAGTTAATTCATTATAAAATCCTTCAATTCGCTATTACCTCTTTCCTCTTCTGTGTAGGCTTGAGAATAATTTTTAATTATTTGGAATATGGAGCCCTTATTTTACAGTGCTCCTAATAACAAAGTTATTCTTTTTCTTTTTTCTGTTTTCTTTTAATACTTTTTATTAAACATTTTCCAGAAATTTATAACATATCAACATTTTCAACAACATTACAGCATCATCAATAGTCATATTCATATGTTAGTTACTGTGTTACTTTTGTGTCTATTGTCTAACCAGCTGTATCAGGCATCCCAGACCAGATAATACTCTGTTCCACCTCTGTCTTTTAGCTCTAAGGTCAGCCTGTCCATCTCCATGCAGTCCAAGATCTTTCTTATCACTGTCCCCTCAGTTGGTATATTATCCTTTTCTTTTTATTATTTTATTATTTTTATTATCCGTTTCCTTTTCTTTTCAAAGTAAATATGCTAACATAAAATTTAGATCTGGAGACCAATAGCAATAATGATAGCACTTAGACATATACTGCTTCATAGTACTTTACAGCCCCCTCTAGGCAATTTACAGAGTCAGCATATTGCCCCTAAAATTTTGGGTCCTCATTTTACCAATCTTGGAAGGATGGAAGGCAGAGTCAACCTTGAGCCAATGAGTTTCAAATTGTCAAACTGCTGGCAGTCAGCAGTCAGCGGAATTAGCCTGCAATTCTAACCACTGCGCCACCACAGCTGACTCCTGCTGAATCATACCAAGGTTCTGGCTAGGCTAGCATATTGTTTCTGCAGGATAAGTTTCTGGGCATTGAAAAACAGCACATGTGGTCAATTCCCTTTTCTGGTACTCAGGTACATGCTGCTTTTGCTTTTGATGTTACATTCAGCCACCAAAAGGAGTTATTGTAGGATGAATATCACATTTCACTGTTGCTCAAGCTTCTAATTTTTCCAAATCTGTTGAGTTTTTTTTTCAGTTTCTCATTTTGATGAATCTACTAGTTGTTGGACTTGAGAATGTTTTCTTAAAATAAAGTTCTTACTAAAGTTTCAGTGCATGTTTCCCCAAATATCTCTTTCTGTTTTTTTGCCTATTTCAATCTTTTTTTTTTTTTGCAATTTTCCCCAAGATAATGCTACACATGTTGTACATTATTAGTTGTATATATTTCCAGGGTATTCCAATCATCTGACTGAAATACTCTCCAATTCTATAATTTGGCTTAAAACAAACACATAGTAGTGAAAAATAAAAACAAAAGACATATGAAATAGTTGTGCACTCAGGACGTCAAATATTCTAAAACACATTATTAAAATGGTTGCTCATCTGGATAAATAGTCCTAATAGCCCTTTTCCTGAGGCGTGGTGAAATAACGCATAAGTGCTGTTTTATATTAACTCTTCATTAATATATCAAAAAGAAGAGTACAGGTTTTACTCCCCCCCACCAAAGTTACATTTAAAATGGGAAAAATATCCTGGTTTCATTACACACAGTATAATTGAGGCAGACTTTTTGGAGAGTTGTCTAAACATTCTTTGGGAAGACTCATTTTATATTCTGAACTATCTTCTTTTCAAAGAAATATGTACTTTGATTAGCAAACTATATTGCAAAATTTGGAATAATGCCAATTTGAAATGATAACCAAACTTAGGGTTTGTTGCAAACTTGTTGGGTTTGGATTCAAATGTGAATTAAATGAATGTTCCTCTACTCCTAACAATAACACTCCTAAACATTTATTCTCAGTAGATGTGAATGGTTTTTAAAGACATATGAGGTAGTGTCTATCACTATATTTTGCAACCCAAACCCATAGTTTAAAATGTGCAAAAGAAAAAAGAAAAGAAAAGGAAACAATACCTCACATCCTTTATTCCTTATCAGTTAGCTTCCCTGGATGACCTCAGATTCTGCTATTATGAGAGGGAGAAAAACATCCCCCTACTCACTTTCACTCTATGTAATTTTATAAAATATAATTTCATCCTTTTCTGAAGCAGCCCAGCCTTTTGCAGGATTGCTTCTCAATTTCCCACCTATATGACAGTTAACACAAGAAAAGTTTTCTGATAATACAGTGTCAGAGGGGTGATATTCTGCCATGTTATATTTTTATACTGTGATCTGGATGCTGTGGTATCTGACATAATGAACCTTACCAATTTTTGTTTTGTTACATCTCCCAAAGGATAAGGAACGGTCAATTGAATTGACTTAAATTTGCCACTGAGACCAGCAATTTGTAGCAAGGTTTCGTAACCTTTATTTATGTTATTTAGGTGCAGCATGTCCATCTTACCCCGATTCCCCTTTTTCTGCAGATGACACGGCAGTGGTGGGGCTTATCCGGGATGACCATGAAGATTCTTACAGGGAGGAGGTGAAGGCTTTGGTAGACCAGTGCAATAAAAATAACTTGGTTTTGAATGTCAACAAAACAAAGGAGATCATTGTTGATTTTAGCTCCAGCAAAGTCATACTCCACTTTGTATCAAGGCTGCAGCTGTGGAGGTGATCAACAGTATTAAGTAGTATCTGGGGGTGCAGATCAGTGGTGGGATTCAATTTTTTTTTTACTACTGCTTCTGTGGGCATGGCTTGGTGGGCATAGCAGGGGAAGGATACTGTAAAATCTCCAGCCAGAGGTTGGATTTGCCGGTCCTCTGAACTCTCTGAACTACTCAACTACTCAAATTTTTTAAAGTGATTTCCTTTCTATTTTTTAAACCTGTAATTTAAATTGGTAAAGATTTCTATTGGCCTAGTGGAACTATTTCTCTGGTGCAGGAAAGGAGACATGGGGACCTAATTAGGATTACAATTGCAATTGCACTGAAAGGTACAACACTGAAAAAGTGACTTATGACCATTTTTCACAGTTATGACCGTTGACACGTTCCCATGCTCATGTGCTCAAAATTTGGACACTTGGCAATTGGCTCATATTTATGACAGTTGCCATATCCCAGGGTCATGTGATCACATTTTGCAATCTTCTCACAAGCAAAGTCAATGGGGAACCCAAATTCACTTAACAACTAATTTAACAACTGCAATGATTCAATTAACAACTGTGGCAAGAAAGGTTGTAAAATGGGGCAAACCTCATTAGACAACTATGTCACTTAGCCACATAATTTTTGGGCTCAGTTGTGGTTATAAATTGAGGACTATCTGTATGTTGAGGTGAGACACAATGACTGCTTCGACATCACCTACTGAGATTCCATAGCTGAAGTTGGACTTGAACCCAAGCCTCCCAGATTCAATTCAACACTGTAGCCATAGTGGTTCTGCGTAGTAAAAGCAAAAATGGTTTCTCTTTTTGTCTTTTGCAAATCACAGATCACTGATCTATAAACAAACCAAAGCCTTCTCCAATTGCCTTCTGTTTGCAGCCTTAGTAAATTGTTTACTTGAACAGACCTTTAACCACATGGATTCCTGGCACCTCTTCTCCACATAGATTGCAATGCAGCTACCTCAGAGATGAAGTTCTGCCAGGAAAGACTAGCTGGATCTGTTCCTTCAAAGTTCTTTGAGACTATATCAGGAAGGTCAGAAGATCAACCTTTCTCTTGAAACATGTGCCTGTCTAGCTGGAGTGTCTTGTAGATGGGGATTTGGGCTCTGCAATGTCCCTCCCATCAGTCAATATAAAAGTAAACAGCCTGGTTTCACTTTTCTGCCATACAGAGAATACTATATCTAGTGCTTCCAAATAATTTTATTTTATTTTATTTAAATTTTATTGGTTTTTAAAAACAAACATAAACAAACAAAACATAAAAACATCAAGCTATCTTCCATAGGTGTACATACAGTGTGCCAGTTGGTTTACAAATTGTTTTGTGCTTCCATTTCGTAGTCTTCAATTACAATTACATTACATATAATCTCATATTGTCAATCAAAAATTAAATACCTTAGTATCATTATTAATCAATCATTTGACTATACTTTTATTCATTCATGTTTTACAAGATAACCATAATTTACTTAATTTATTTTATAACAGTTCATAATTTTAAATTATGTTAGATAAGACTAATGTTATTTCTATCGCTCTAGTGGAAGTATCAGGCTTATCATATTCAAAGTACTATTCTGTTCTCCAAGTGAAGCTGAGGAGTGTTGATATTCTGTCATGCCATTCTATGTCCGTGGCTGCTTTCAAGCTACAGATCAAGTTAGCACATTACAAATATAGAACATTAGCAAATCTGGAAAGCAACATTAGCATCCTGGCAAGTTTAAACAAATAGAGATGTTGAACTGACCAACAGCTATGTTTCTGTAAACAAGCTCAGAGTTTTTCAATATACTTACTGCACAGGTACGTTGAAGAGCTACGCACAAAAGTGACCCTTAGGTGCAGGTAAGTGCATGTTGGGATAATGACTGAAAATAGGAAACGTGAAACCTGTGGGAATCATATATATGAAATGTCTTAATTGCTGCTAGATCTGGTTGGCTCCTGCCAAAATATAGATGTGTTTGGGTGCAAGGAAAAAAGAGAAGCAACATAAATACCCTAACATCACTCAGATTATTATGAATTTTGAAGCATGTAATGTTTCTGATGGGTAGCTTAAAAGGCTCACACTCCTCAACAGTTTCATCTGAGAGTAAATTGATATATAGTGTATTAAGTGTGGTTTTATCAAGTGTTGCTACTAATTCTGCAGTTTCCAGTCAAGTAACAAAGATGATACTGCTGTATCTCTTAGATACCTAAGTTGGAGCCACAAGATTTATTGTCAAAAATATACTTTGAAAGAAGAACTATTTATTTTTTTGTGTCAGAATGTTGAGGGATATTTAACAAGTTGTAGAGTATCTGCTTCTCAAGTCTATTTCAACCAAATATTTTTACATGAAAGAAAAAAAATAAAAACCTTTACAAAATATTGCATGAGATCATCAAATTATCAGCTAGTTCCTTTCACTTATAAATGTTAGTTGAAAACATGTACTAAACTTTCATGAAATAAATATTAAGAGTGGAAGGAGACATGGGGCTTAATGGCTATTATGATGAGCATATCTTGTGAATACCAGTTGCTGGAATATAACAATAGCGCTATTGACCTCAGTGTGTGTGTGTGTGTGTGTGTGTGTATTTATTTCATATTGACATCTTCTTGGTCTGAATAAGAAACAAGATAACAGATTAGCTGGATCTGTGATCTGATCCACCGTAACATGTTTGCAGTAGTTTATTTCTCCCTTTATACAAAATGGATATGAAAAAGAATGATTCTTGTGTTATACAATGATTTTCTTGTAAAGATATACTGCACGAGTCAAAAAGAGGGCTGTGAAAATATTTATAGACCCTGCACATCCTGGACATAAACTGTTTCAACTCCTTCTCTCAAAACGATGCTATAGAGCACTGCACACCAGAACAACTAGACACAAGAACAACTTTTCCCCCAAAAGCCATCGCACTGCTAAACAAATAATTTCCTCAACACTGTTCAACTATTTACAAAGTCTGCATTACTATTACTGCTAATCTCCTCATCACTCCCTTCCCACTTGTGACTGTATGACTGTAACTTTGTCGTTTGTATCCTTACGAGGTATATTAACTGTTTCCTAGTATGATTTGATTGCTTATTGTACCCTATGACTATCATTAAGTGTTGTACCTTATGATTCTTGACTCTTGACAAATGTATCTTTTCTTTTATGTATACTGAGAGCATTTGCACCAAGACAAATTCCTTTTATGGCCAATCACACTTGGCCAATAAAGAATTCTATCCTATTCTGTGCAGATCTTTCTACTGATTCAAAGTTTTGTTTGAAAAAAAAAAGAGATGGGAGAGATGGGAAGGATCATGCAGTCATATGCAAAATTAAAGCTGTGATATACACTTCAAAATTCATAAAAGGTATTTCCTCTCCCAACAAAATTGCATTTTCAGCACCTACAACGTGTTGTGCCAGCCTTGAACCTTTAACACATTTGGAAGGCCCTGTTAAACTGTCTGCAGCAGGGGTCTCCAACCTTGGCAACTTTAAAACTTGTGGACTTCAACTCCCAGAATTCCTCAGTGAGCAAAGCTGGCTGAGGAATTCTGGGAGTTGAAGTCTACAAGTCTTAAAGTTGCCAAAGTTGGATACCCCTGGTCTGCAGGCAGTGGTGGGATTCAACCGGTATAACAACTGGTTCACTGAGTATGTGCTTTGTGCATGCAGCATTTGAAAATCACCCATTTTCAGCTCTAAAACATATCTTCTACTGCAGCTCTGGTGAGTAAAACAGCGAGGCGTGGCAATCCACTGAGCCATGTGAATCAATTGGGCTGCAAAATATGGAAATATAGGACAGATTAAGTCAGGGGTGGGTGGGAGAGGCCAACTGATCACTGGAATCACTGGTTTTGCCTGAACCAGACTGAACCAGTAGCAGCCCACCCCTGTCTGCAGGACTATGAACTGCTGTGGTCTATGTACTCAGTTAGGATAAATGGCATCAGAGAAAATATTCAGAAACAAATACGATCATCTGGATTCAACACTGAACTTGAATGGAACAAGCTTAGCCCCAACCTATGACATTTGAAGCATATATCTTGGTCCAAGGGGATGACTGCTATTTGATTATAACTCTAGGAAGTAGAGTTTGCTTATTGTAATCAGTATCATTAAAAGGCTGATGCTGGCTGTCATGCAAGTTTTTATTTATTTATTTATTTGTCAAACAAGTATCAGATAACAGGTATAAGTATAAGCATGGTTATGAATACATGAAATGAGTGTGAATAAAAAAGAAACAATAGGACAGGGACGGTAGGTACGCTCGTGCACTTATGCATGCCCCCTACAGACCTTTTAGGAAAGGGGTGAGATCAATAGTAGACAGTCTAAGGTTAAAATTTTTAGGGTTTGGGGAAGAAACCAGAGTCAGGTAGAGTATTCCAAACATTGACCACTCTGTTGCTGAAGTCGTATTTCCTGCAATCAAGTTTGGTGTGGTTTACCTTGAATTTGTATCTATTGTGTGCTCTTGTATTGTTGTGGTTGAAGCTGTAGTTGCACTTGTCCATCATCAGTCTCTGTTACAAGACAAAGAACCACTCTGCCTTGAGAACCAGGAGTCAATGGTGGTCAAAGTTATGGGCTATGTGCTCTCACTTTCCTTATATCACAATCTTTTAAACTGAAGAATTTTCCCTCAGAATCAGCATCAGGAACTGAATCATGTACTTAATTTTTCAAATCTTAATAGATGTGCCAGGTTTTATTGTGTACTAGGTCCTTTTTGATATTCTCTGTTGTGAGGTTATGGGTTTCCTTCTCATTCCTAAAGCTGAACCCTAACCAGTGGTAGAGTGAAACATGTTTCATTCCTATGCTAATAGAAAAAAGTCTAGTGCAGGGGTGTGGAACTAGGGCAACTTTACGATCTGTGGACTTTCACCCAGAATTCCCCAGTCAGCCATGCTGGCTCAGGAATTCTGGGAGTTGAAGTCCACAGGTGATAAAGTTGCCATAGATCCCCTCCCTGATGTAGTGTAAAAGCAGAGAAAAAGCATCTTTTCAGAATCAGATACCCACAGTTGATCCCAGAGCAGAAACATGCAGCCTGTACATGGGTCCCAGCCTATTCTTAACCTTCAAGTCTATCTGCATCCATTCTTTTGCCATAGGAATAGGGAAATTCAGAATTAAATAGGTAAACATGCCAGCATGTCAAACAGGTACTGTATTCTTTATAGTTTCATAATATCTTACCAGAAATGAGATTGGCACTTGCTGTCTAACTTCTGCTCCAATGAAGCATAACCACTGTTGTTTGCCAGAGGATACTTGCTTGGCCAGTACTGTAGTTTTTAATCTGACACTTGTCACATGCTGCATCGTGATAATTTCAGAAGGGCCAACTGGCCTTTGGAAAACTTCAACTTCTGACCTGGCTGCTTGCTCTAATCAAGTGTTTACTTGAGTGTAGGCCAAGCTGCTCTCAGATTATACATATTGGTATTAAACTTTGGTCATCAAAGTTTTCGTCAATAACATTAAAACTCTTCAGTTATCTCACAGAAGGCAGAATCCTTTTCCAGAAGATGATTGCCAGTTCATGGAGAAGAAGAAGAGATGGGAATCTGTCATTTTAAAATCCCTCAGCCCAGTGGCAAAGATATTACAGTAATGCTGAAAGAGCAAGAGGGATACAAGAAAGCCACTCATATCAACCACTGTTTAATCCATAATTAGAGATATTAATTAGCACCTCTGTGAGGAGTTTAGACTTGACAGTACAAAGACTGCAGCTCTCAAGTGAACCTTAATGATGAGATAATTTTCTTTCATGAATCCTGAAATATCTCGCTGGAAATTCGGCATTAGTGGCACTGATACTTAGTACCTCACCAGGGACAGCAAGCTGTGGATAAAATTAGGAATTAACTCTGTATCTCCTCTTTGCCTTTCATTCTGCCTGCTCTTTGTCTTGAGATTTCTAATCTCAGGCTCTTTGTTACCAAGGTCTGCATGTGTCTGCTTATGCACACACACACTCATTCACAGTCTCTCTCACACACAGAGACACACAAACACATACACATATGTGTCTACAGAGCCCACAGATTTATTTCCTGATAGGATGTAGCTGGCTTTGCCTATCTTCACTATTTCTTTAAATAAATATTTTTTTATATTATCAATCTACTTCACTAAACCTTAGGCTACTTAGACTAGTCAAATTCATCACCATATTAATACCTCTGAATATTTATTTCCTTATATTTGGAGGTGCAATGCTATGATCTATCTACTGAGAAGACTTGGGTTTTACAGTATGGTAATCTAGAACAGCACTTTATTAGAGTTATAATTATGCTAAGTTAGACTTGGAAGATCAACTTTGAGAAAGTTAATTGTGCACAAGTTTCATTATTCAAAAAGAACACCAGCCTCTGCATCAAATGCTGAATTAACTAGGTAGGCTTCCTACTGTATTAATAAATTGAGGAAAATATGTGAACTGCAAAAAGCTTACAAAAAGAAAAAGGAATAATATCAAGAACAATCAGTATAATACACATTCTGTTTCTGAAGTCCTTAACAGCACATCATCCTGGGAATAGAAATATTTTTGATGTGACACCTGGTAGCTGTCTGTTGAATAAAACACCATTTTAAATTGAGCAATTATGAAAATGGTAGCAGCTCCTTTGAAAATGTGTATATTCTCTGGTTTTCATAAGCTTTAAAAAGCAGAAAAGGGTTTTGCAAAAGCAATGACTTTCACAGTTGATGCACTGACTCATTTCTTGCATAAATCTGTTGAAACTGTTAGAGGGAATAAATCTATCTCATTGTGTTAAACAGGAGAGCATTGATTGAGGCTTGGTAAATTTT